ATTTTAATGTAAACTTTATACATACCTACTCATAGAACAACACGGGGCATTAGTGGACCGGAGGGGAGTAGCCATAGCATTTTTTCTCTGTCATTTTTTGCGATGGTAAATCTGTCTGCACTCACGAAAACAATCGTCTATTCTACGAAACCCACACATAAGAATTAAAATAATATACTAACAATAAAATTGTTTGGTAAATCCAAATGGTATGCCTTAAGCGCTCATGTTATACTATATTATATATATATGATTTTAAACTATACACAAGTTTTCACAAATAATCTTATTACTATCACTTCTAATTTTTCGATAATTTTACGTCAATTTACGCATTTGGGCAGCGCGGCGGACACTTCCTTGCCCTAAACCCTCTCAGAAATGAGGGGAGGCCTGAGCCCAGCAGTGGGACGTATATAGGCTGTAACTTTACTTTTACTTTACTTTACGTCAATAAAAAGAACTTATAGCTTATAGCGTTAAAGAACTTATAGCTGACGTGAAGCAACGACGCTTCGGGAATTCTGCAGTCAGTGAACGTGTTCAAGATCGTCTGGACTGGTCTGAACATCTGCAAGGATTTGTGGTTTATCAGGTTTGACAAAACCACAAATCCTTACAGAAGAACACCGATTCATACCAAGGATGATACGCGATCCCATTGAAATTAAAAAAAAAAACCTAATTTCAATAGAGAAGATGGATGGGTGCTGTTATCTGCTTGGGATCCTGTAATTAACAAAATTCAACCCAAACCCAAGCATATCACTGCAAGATTTCGAGATACTGTAATCTTTTTCTGCGTAGATTTGAGCAAAAACTAATATTCAAAAACTGAACGTAGCCGGTCTAACTATTACATTGGGACGTCAAACATCTCAGTCCCTCTCGTGACTATGGGTGCAAAGCACCTAAAACGCCGGGAATTGAAAATAAGCTAAAATAAGTTAGTTCAATGCGATAAAACTCGTATATATAATTTATTCAATGTATAGTGTTCGCGTAAATTTTAAAAAAGCTATTATTGAGTTCTATATTATAACTCATGCACCAACTTATCTGGAAGCGCTGATAGAATGAATACTTACATCATCTGCATACCAGAAGCAAGTGGCTCAGAACAAAATCGAACTTAGAAAAAGGTGGTCTAGTTCTGGTCAAGGAAGACAGCATCGCTCCCGGCAAGTGGACTTTCCCGCTAAGTGGATATGTCCACGTGGTGACTAAAAACAAAAAGTAATATTCTAAAATGACTTATAACAAAACTTTCACCGCGACCCAAAAACGAATACCAAGAATAACTTATAGTAAACAAAAATAACGTACAATCGCCAGCCGGTAACGCAAAACCAAGCGCCGCGAAGCGACCGGTAACTCGACCGCTCCTGGCACGCGACAAAATGAATTGCTTTATGGTTGCACTCATTTCATTATTTACATTATCAAGTATTTGTGCTAATCCGCAAAAAAATATAAACTTATACTAATAGAAGGTAATTTTCCTATTTATTTTGATGAAATCGGAGATATGCAGATGATAGATGACGAACGGACTTTGTTAATTTATTGTAATTTAACTACATATTGGCAAGGAACCGAACACATCAAAGGCTACTTGGCGAAGCTCAGCAATATATGCACGCGTATGGAACAAGAGCCATGCGGCCTAGACATCTCGCAACTCAACCACGAACGGCAACAACTTGACTATATATATTCTATTGAACCCACACTAATAAGAAGAGAGGTTACGTCAACATCGGAAGCTTGGCACGTACACTTTTTGCTGGTTTGGATGACGAATTTGCTTAAAAATATCAAAGAGATATACAAAGGGTGCGACAAAATTGACCTTAGCTACAGGAGCTTATTAAATATCAAACGAGCATAATTGAAGCCGAAGATGACATTATCAAGAGCAACGATAGGTTCATAAAGCAATAGCTAGAGTCGATCTATGAGTTCTTTAAGAGAATCTACAGCAGCATGGACCGGATAAGGTTGTGTTTGAGATTATGGCCACTATGAACGATTTCAACGCAGCAGTACTACCCTTACTGCGTCCTTAATACTTATAAACTTAAAACAAACTCAAGATAAGTTGATAAACACTTTAGTTGACGTACATAACGGGCACCTAGATTTTCACCTCGTGACACAAAAACAGTTTAGGTATATACCAGTTCATAATTCATATCATTGCCGCCAAAGTAACAATGGGTCTAGGTATATGCTGTCAGTGAATAATAAAGACATTGAAGCAAACATCAAAGATGTCTACCAACTCCCGTACGTTAGATTGCGAATTACTACTTCGGGCTTACTGCTAAAAGTACATACACCACTTACAAGTGAAGACGAATACAAAATCTGTCGCCCTATCGCTCTACCGATGAATGTCGTTCTAGGCTCGACTTATATCGCCGTACACATGAAAAGCAGTCATTACTTGTCTCTCAGTGATAAGGACTTGGATATCTGTATAAAGATACCTAAATGAGGACCGCTGTATGTGTAACACTAACTACCCTGTAAAGTCTACGAATCACAGGGCACGCTCCCTGTGAAGCTCAAGTAATAAATCAACAAATACAACTACACTGTAGCACAAAATCCAGCCCACCCATCCAGCCCATCCCGGACAGATGGATAAAGCTAAAAATGCCCAATAAATAGCTTTACGTTTGAAGTAACTCATGAAATTCAAGAATATTGTGTGCAGAAAACAAGAACACTAAAATTAGACTTATAAAATCGAAATCTTATATTTGATTACAACTACTTTTTTATAATATAGGGTGACAAACGAGCACACAGTCGCCTTGATGGTAAGTGGATATTGTGATTTAGTGCTTTAGTGGATGCTGTGGCTCATAGATTTCTTCTTCACACAACAATCAAAATGCCAATGCGTTGTCATTCCTGAGGACTAACATGGAACGCTTCGATTCCAGTAAAAAGGGTCTCCGGTTCTCTACACCATACTTAACACAGCAGCATTACGCTGCTATTTTACGCTAATATTCTGTGAGAGCGTGGTCCTGCCCCGGTCTAGCCAACCCTTTCGTGCTACAACTATAATATAGCTGCAGCGCGGCTCTACCACCTAAAAAAGCTGTAAGTTTAGTTTACTACCACCATGGTATTAAACTAAACTTACAGCTTGAAACACCTCAGATCGACGAACCTAATTTACAGTTACATGATATAGTAGCCTACATCAGGCTCTACCATCTCACATAGAAGAAAACTATAGAGAAGTAGATGCCAAGCTGAAATGAATCGAGGATAATGAGAGACTGTCAGATGCGATAAACTCCTACGATCTACACCAATTCGAGATGATTTATTTACTAGTGAGAAGAGTCGTCGTATTGGCCGTATATCTAATTGTGAGGCACTGCTGCAAAGGAAAACTACATAACAAATCAGCGACACGAGGACAACATACTAGAGATGAGTCGCCGCCTGCGCTGCCCTCACTGCCACATGCACCCTGCGAGTACGTGGAGATGCAACCACGACGAGTCAGATGCGACGTGTGCCTGCCACGTAACACCAACGTGCGCCGATTTAGTTTCGAATCGAAATCAAAATTCGACAGTACTTATGTATAACTTTTACATTTTTCTACATTTGCCTTTTATTTTATATTACTTTTATATTGTTACTATTTAACATTTTATAGTTGTCTTTTATTTTGGCCTCCCAGCATGTAGAGTCCAAATAACATAAATTTACTTTATGCTGACGCGGTTCGAACCGCCGCGTCGCGAATTATTTATAATGCACTATTTTCTCAATGTGTGTAATAAACTGCTAAAGTAGCAACACGTGTGCCACTCATACTGACGTACTATCGTCTTAAACTAACTTTAAACTACATAACTATAAAAAAACTTAACTATCAAAGAAGCTGTACGTATCGCAAACTGAGTCTGTACGGCTCTTTTTTATCTATCTATATAAAACATAATTCAACAATACAAACAATTCTACCTATGTCCGTTATAGACTTTGATGTGTCCCAAACCGGTTTATTAGAAAGGCAATAATACTTTAGGAACTATTCAAAAGAGGTAATAAGTAAACAAAATTACTTTTTTTAAATTAATAAACAAAATGTATTTCTTTTTTTAGTTTATTAACACACTCCGGGTATCCACTAGTATAAAATAAGGGTGACAAACTAGCACACAGTCCACCTGATGGTAAATGAATACTGTGGCCCATAGACACCTACATTTACCTATAAAACAACTAATTAAATAATAATTACTACCAAAATATTGTGCTTATAAGTTGAAGCGTGGCTTTACCACTTTTAAAGTATGTCACCACGTTTAGAAACGTTACCACGTTCAAATAAAGTTATTTCTGCGGTGCTGCCGCAAAACAAGAAAAAGGAAATATTGGGTAAAGAAGCCGCTCTTAATACACTTCTGTCACCCGTGTCCAAATTTCACACTTTTAATTGATATTCGTTGTGACTAATGTGACACGTGTGCGCGCGAAAATCACCAACGAACTCATAGACACTATATACCAGAGAAACGAAATGATTGAAATTGCCCCAATTGCACTACATACGCGCCGGCGGCAGCTATGATCTAGGGAGCAAGGAAGGTCTCGCGCCGCTAACGCCATGCTGTAGGGCCGACTTAGGATATTGTCCCTCATGAAATACTTATGTATGTATTATAGTATTCTATGTTGCCCCTGTTTGCATACACACGTCACAATTAAGGACGCAATTAAGAGTCATCCGCACTCCTACACCCTAGATTGCCCCTGCGCTAAGCATGTGAGTAGTCAGGTAAATTTTGACAAAGACTATAATAAATGAATTAATTAAAACTTTTTTGGTGAACGCCAACGTTATTATAAGACAATTAGAACTGTCAAATTTCTTTGACAAAAAAGAAATATATTCAACACATTCAACATCGTAGATTTATTGTACCGTTTTATAGGTATTATATTCAGTAAAGACACAAAATATGGAACCAGCGTTCGGATTATTAGAAAAACGTCAGCTGCCAAAATTAATGGCATGTATGACTCAAAATAGCATAGAAAATTTTAGGAATAAAGCTTTGTTCAGTTTAGATACAATTGACGCAAAAGGAATTCGAAGGTAAATGTTCCAGTATATACGTATAATTGAAAGAGAAACATATAAATGATTTTTTTTTTCAATTAATTTATCAATTTTCCAATAATTTCAGGCGAAAACTTCCTCTGCACGAATGTTTGACTTTAGAGTTGAGGGAAGCAGGATTTTTTGAAACATCGGATTATCTACAAAATCTCATTTATGACAATATTCAAATTTTAGCACAAGACGATATCGGTATTGTTATAGATCTTAGAAAAAAAGAAGACTTCTTGGAACATATTTGCGCCGGTCTACAAAAGGCTGAAAGAGAACGAGACAAAGGTATTGGACAATATTTTTTGTTTCAAAAACACACTATTTTTTATACAATACGGTTGTTAGATTATTAAGTATTGTTAGATTTTTAAGTATAAATATTTTCTTTTTATGACAAGTTTCTAAACGATTAGTTGTCATTAGGATGTTCTTTTAATATATCTACATAATACTATTTCCTATATAAAAATAGTTGACCTTCACTTTTAATTCCTAACGTTTAAGAATTATAAAAATAACTTCTTTACTAATAATAAATATTTTACAAGTAATTATATTTACATAATTAATCACTCAAATAAAAAAGTACTTATATGTTATTGTAACTAGGGAACTAGCGAGCCAATTTGGCGGCACTATACTAAGTAAGTGACGAAGACTGATTTGTTAAAATTGATTAAATATTTAAAAAGACATCCAGACCTATTAATTTTATATTTAAAAAGTGGGATAATCTGAATATATCTTTCATAAAGGTTTGTTGTTGGTATATATTCGCTCCAGCACTCGGTAAGTGGAAGCAATATGCTGATTTACAATTGTGATTTTCTATTTGGTTTGTAATGTAGTAATGTTTGTGTATTTATAAAAAATAAATGTTTTACAAGGTGATTTAGGCATTATAGCATAATGACAAAGTAGGTTTATTTATATCATAATCATGGTGTTTTTCGTGTTTCTAAAATCAATGGACTATATTATTGTTGTTGTTTTTTTTTCGATTTCACGTAACAAAAATAAATTATTAGAAATTTGTATGGTAACTCAACGAAATTACGTTAACTCCGTAACTCAGGCGCAGTTTACTGCGCCGTCTCATTACGTAGCTCAAAATTACGCCATGGCGCAACAATATTTTACAAAGTTGTTCACAGAGTTTAAAAAAAAAGTATAAGTTATGCAGCGCCTTATAGCGAAATGGCCGAATTATATACAGCTGATGTTTTTACTGAATGGTTATAAAGTCTAGCGGTAAAAAAAATATCATTGGATTTATAGTGCAACCGCCTTTTCTTTGTACTGAAAAGCGACACTATTGGCCGAAACGCACCGAGAGAGTGTAGTTTCGCAAACTGACATTTCACAGATAAGTTGGTGACGCTGTAGGTATGCAACGTACGTTGTATGTTATATGAATAGGAAGGACATTTTCGTCGCTCAATGTGTTGATGATTTGATGAATTTTTGTGAATATTGATGTTAGGATTTTAATGAGGTTCCTTTTGAGTTTTATAATATAATTACATAATGTATTGATTTTATTGCCATATGAAATCATTAATGAAACATAAATAGTATTTATTTATGTTTCATTAATGATTTACTTTATTTATATACATACACATATGTACGTACATTTAAGGGCTGCTCGTTGGTCTAGTGGTTGTAATAGTGCGACTACTGATCATGAGGTCCTGGGTTCGAATCCCGGGTCGGGCCATAAAATCAATTATTGAGTTTTTCTGTCAAGAAATTCTCAGTAGCTGCCTGGAGTCAGGAAGTTGGCGATGTCTCACCCCCGTGCCTCGGAAAGCACGTAAAGCCGTTGGTCCAGCACCTGGTCTCTCTCCGGTCGTGTCGGTTTACCATCCCATCGGATTATGAGAGTGAGGGAATAGAGAGTGCGCCTGTGCTTGCACATACACTTGGGCACTATAATCCTGTCCTGCGTCGATGGCTAGCCTCTGTTGAGGCAGGCCGCCGTGGCCGAAATTCGGTCTGGAGGACATTATTATTATTATTACATTTAAGGGAACATGGACTGAGAGTTGATCAAGTAATGAAAGGCATTAAATTTATTTCTTGTTTTGTTTATTTATGCAAAAAAGTCATGAAAAATGTTGTTGCAGATATTGTAAAAGACTCAAAGAAGAAGTGTTCGGTTTACGACTATATTTTTTTAAATTATTGTAATTTTAACAATACAGTGTAGACCATACGTGTCATCTATCATATTTATATACAAAAGTTGATATATATATATATATATATATATATATATATATATATATATATATATATATATATATATATATATATATATATATATATATAATGTCTGCTCATAGTTTAACACCCCCTTTATCATATATAACCGAAAAGCAAGGAAATCGTAGCTTTTCGGTTAGGTATTTTACTACGGATTCAAATACGTCATATACAGAATATTCGCGGTCACCTACGGTGCAGCGACACGGCCACTGTTATTATTGCCTCTCGTGACAAACATACTACTCGTAAACCTCACATTAAATCTGCATCACTTGTTCAAAATCTAACGAAACGGCGGCACCGCCGGAGTATCGAACGTGAAAGCACTTCGTACCATACTTACATCGAACGGTCGCATCGCAAATCATGCAGCACAAACACAAAAAATATGGCGTAGCATATCTAGTCATACATCCATTGAAAGTGCAGACTCTAAGCAAGCCTCTAACATTAATTTACTTCAACAATTGGTGAGTGTACTACTACCAGGTAGTAATTTGCGAGTCCATGCAACACCGCACGTGCAAGGTGCACAAAGTATTATCACGGAATTTGATCCTGGTTCTAAAGCACAAAACATTAAATATTGGCTCATATAGAGTAATGAATCCGCGGAAATGTATGATTGGTCGGAACAACAAACGATTTTCTATGCTTTGCAAAAGTTAAAGGGCTTAGCTAAGGAATGGTATGACGGACTTACGGGTTGTAAAGGGGGATGCCCACTGTTCATAGACACTTCGGCCATGGGTGCCCACATATAAAAGCATATGGAAATGATAATATGCAATTAAAATAATGAAATGGTTAAGGAATTGGTTTAAAAAAAGTCGGGATTTTTATGATATAAAGCTTTTTTATTTTCATAAATACAGTTTTTTAACGACTACTTTTACCAATTTTATTGCTTTTAATTTCTTTAACTTTTAATTCCCGACGCGTGATTTTTCTTTTGGAGGCCTATGCCAAAAAGGCACACCGAACAGAGGGACTTACTTTAACTAGTATTACAATAGGAACTCAAACACAAATATTATGTAACCCCAAAGTTCGGAAATAAATGGCTATATTATTATTATACTATTATTATTAATTCCTGACGTTTCAGGTGCTTTATAGCACCCATGGTCACGGGGTACTGAGGTGACTGCCATCCCAATGTCAGTATTGGGACATGGAGTACCTTCAGCTTTTTATTATTATTTTTATAGTCCAATCTACGCAGATTGAACTTACTCTATCTTTAAGTCTTGCAGTGGTATGCTTGGGGTTTGTTTTAATTTTATTAATTATAGTGTCCCAAGCAGGTGGTAGTACCCAACCGCCTTCTCTACTGAAATTAGGATGTTTTTTAATTTCAGTAGCCTCACATATCATCCTTGGTAGGAATTAATGTTCTTTAACGAGGATTTGTGGTCTATCAAATCTGATGTATGTCTATCTGGTTGGGGTGACACCCTTGACATACGGTAGTACAGCAGGCACACGCTCAACTGCGGTCGGCTTCACTCGGTCACTGTGACGAAGACGTGGGACCCGAAGCTTGATTTTGTGCAGAACCTGCTTGACGTGCTGAAGCTCCGCGGCCAGGTGCTTGTTCTCACAGATCCCATATGCTCTCTGTAACAAAGATTTGCTTATGGTAACTAACTGTGAAGGATTATGGTGAGATTCACTGCTTAAATATCAGTTTGTATGGGTCTTTTTTCTATACACAGTGTGACCTATGATGTTGTTAGGATTTTGGATAACAAAAACATCTAGGAAAGCTAAGAAATTATTTGCCTCAGATATAATATCATAATTACTGAATAGAATTTGGCACAGAGAGTGGTAACGATGGATAAAATTCATAGGAACAACATCCTGATTTAATATTTCTTGGGCCATATTCATGAGCCGCTCTAATTTGTTTCTTGGTACTTGCAATAATGCCTATAGCATTCATCACTATCTCCTGTTCTTACTTTCATCAAATATACAGCAAGTGCAAAGCATCCACTATGTTTACTTGACATTTTGGGCACTTCAGACAGAATTTATTGGCATTGTGCCTTTGATAAGCGTAGCTAATAATGTACAGTATATTCGGGCATATTGTAAATATTTTCAAAGTCTATATGATGGTAAATATTATCTTACAATAATGTAGAAAAATCTATAATTTGTGCTACACTAAATGTTTTAATATGGTTATATATTAATTCTAAAAGTAAATACCAAGAGTTACTATTTAAATGGTAGTTACTGATTCTACATTCTGGAGGTACATAGTAATTGTATTCACAAAAATACATACCCGCAATGCTGATGGAACAGTGAGTTGATTGGAATTATTACAACCAGGAAAAAAACATTGATTTTGTGTGAGTGGTGCTCTTACAAAATTAGGCAGCAGTATATTGTATGATGTATGATCTAAGCTTTGTTGTTCTAGGTTCAATACATTACTCACTTTAGATTGCTACAAGGATGGACTAGATGATTCAGATGGTTCCCGTTCTAAAGTTTAACGTGTTGGTGCTTTATCAATCCTTCGCAATCATGACACTCACGCGATGACGATGGCAACTGAAATAATATTAAATAAAAAAAAATAAGACAAAGTGAACAAAATAAAATAGATTTGTTTACTTTAAACTCAAATATAGGTAAATGTTACTTAAAACTTAATGCCCTATATTATTTAATAATTAAGGACTGACTGCCTACCAGTAGTCCAAAAACAATTAAAAATCGACTGTCTTATTTCTTGGTATTTGATAAAAATTGTCCATTTCGTAACTATCTGGTGTTAGCTAGCTAATCTTATCACCGTGTTAAAAAATAAAACAACTTCATCATTTCATACATTCATCTCTATCAAATATCAGCACTAGAATTAATAAATTAAAAACTGTTGAACACTTACTTTTAACTGTTGTCACACTATAATGTGATCGACAATCTCACTCCATATGAGTTCTTGAGAATTTATTTGAAAAATAACAAACAAAATAACACAATGGCAACTA